GTAATCCCAGCACCTGAGACAAGAGGATTATCATGAGTTCCAAGTCAGCCTGAACTACATAGTGAGACTCTCTCTTCAGAAAAAAAAACAAAACATAGGGCCGGGAATTTCGCTCAGTACTGCTGCCACCAGCCTCGCAAGCGCAAGGTCCTGACTTCGATCCCTGCTAACAAAAAAAAAAGAAGAAAAAAATGGAAATAAAGCTTTTGTACATAGGGAGGGAAGGGGGCTTGAGAGGAGGAGACAATAGGAAAAAAGAGGCTAGATATATCATATACAGGCGCAAACTTCCTATGATGAGTGTCATCATTATGTATGCCTAAAATGTATCAATAAATGTTTTGCTATTAAAAAATTAATATATCTAGCTTCATTAAAATCACTTAATTTTAAAATCATGAAGAACAATAACAATTTAAGGATCAACAGTAAGTTCTACTATAAGCTTTACTTACTTTTGGAATTGGCTTTAATATATTTAATTGCAACAAATCTTGCAAAATGATACATCAGATGAATAAACTTAGGGCCGCCAGGAGAAAGAAACAGTGAGCCAACAACTTGAGGAAAGCTACTTCCACATTCAGCCTATGGAGAAAGAGATACGATGAGGTGGAAACCTTAACAATAGTAATTCTCACACTTACACTGCATCACGCTGTTTATATAGGCTGCAGCAATCTTGCAGTAAAGGCCCCACACACGAAAACCTCACTGCAGGGCAGCAACCACACGACCATTACCATGAACCATCAGCACACCCTCATCATGGCACAATGGCTTGGATATGTTCAATTCCACCAAAGAATGGAAAGGCCAGAGAGGGTGCAGACTTGGCCAGCCAGCACCGCTAGTCTGCTCCCTCCTCACATCAGACTGTTTAAGTGATCAATCAAAACTGTTTTGTTTGTGCTGGGCATGGAGGCAAATGCCTGCAATCCCCGCTACTCAGGAGGCTGAGAGGAGGATCACAAGTTTCAGGTCAGCTTGAGCAACTTAGCAAGACCACAAAACAAAATAAAATAAAATAGCTGGAGATGTAGCTCAGCTCTTCCTGGGTTCAATCCCCAGTACTGTAACTGTAACACATTCACAATGGGCTATATAAACATGACTGCTCCATGGCAGCCAATGGAACAGACATGCATGTAGAATGGGTGGTTCAAGTCGCCCAATGGGACAGTCACACATGCACCATCAGTGGTTCAAGCTGGCAGGAATGTGTATTAAAAAAATACACACACACACACACACACACACACACAACCTGTTTGAATCATAGATGAATTGTTTGGTTTTTTTCTAAATTCTAACTGAAATCAATCACAACACATAATCATAATAATAAAGCCACAACTACTGCTGTTAAGGGAAACAAGCTGAAATGGTCTATGATCAAAAAGTATTCTTTAGGGCCGGGGATTTAGCTCAGTGGTTCCACCGCCTGCCTTGAAAGCACAAGGTCCCGAGTTCAATCCCCAGCACCAAAAATAAAAACAAACAAGTATTCTTTAACCAGGCATGGTGGTAACATGCCTATAATCCAAGCTACTCAAAAGGTACATAGAAGATTACGAATTCAAGGCCATCCTAGGCAATTTAGCCCACCAGGTAGCTCTGAGTCACTGATCTCCCAACCCTGGTTTGCCATTCTTTTTTTTTTTTTTGGTACCAGGGATTGAACTCGGTCCTTGCACTTGTGAGGCAGGCAGTGGAACCACTGAGCTAAATCCCCAGGCCAGTTTTTAACTTCTTAAAGTCTGCATCTTCCAAACACAGAATACCTACAGAAATCTTTTTTAACCATTCACAGCAGTGTTTCCGGAATTCAGTGTCCCTTTTTTGGTCCAATGGAGGCCAGCAAAACCTTAAAAACAAAAATAAAAAAATTAGATAAGATGGATCAAAAAATTCAAACTCAGCAAAATTTAAAAATACATCAAATTTATTTCCTATACCAGAAATAGTAAAAGCACAGTGGATTAAAGCTAGCATTCTAAAATTGTAGCTGAGGATGCCAAATCTGAAAAATTGGGTCTGTATCTGTACGGTTGAGTCCAGGTTAGTGCAAATAACTAGAGTCTATATCCTAAATGGAAAAATGAACAGCTACTAAAATTAATGAAAACTAAATAAAGAAAACACTCTCAATAGATCCACTAGACAAATGCATAAAGATGTATAAATATAGTAAGCCTGAAAAAAAAACAATTTTGTAGGAGAAACATATAAATGAATATACATGATAAGCAGAAGAGCACATGATAGTATTACTCTAATGAGAAAATCTATATCATGGTCTGTGGGTGTTTGTGACTAAACAAGATACAAAAATAAGAAAAAGAAAAGTTCTGCTTCAGCTTTGGTCAAAAATACTAGACTTCAAAATTTACCTATTATTTTCCCGATAATCAGTGTCATCCAAATTTTTGAGGAATACTTATTTGTTTAAATCATTCTTTTTATATTTCTATGATGTTTCATATTCTCAGAAAAAATATGCACAGAAAAAAAGACTAAAAGGCTAGTATATCAACAGCAATATTCTCAGGTTGGTAGATTTAGGAATGATTTTTACTTCCTTCTTTAAATTCTTCATATTTTCTAAAGTGCTTAAAATGAGTCATAATGTGACATCTGAAAGGGGGCCTTTTTTTTTTTTTGAGACAGGGTCTCAGTATGTAGTCTAGGTTGACTTTAAACTCAGGATCTTCCTGCCTCAGCCTCCTTTATGCTGAGACTTCAGGGATGGATCATCACAGCCATTTTACCAGTGGAAAATATCAGAAAGCCTATTTTTATTTAGACAAAGGAAGTCCTATATCTTAATGATAGAGATTTCAAAAACTGTTTCAAATGCATGTGCTGTCCTGGGCACCTATAACTTCAAATGAAAGCAAAACATAAGAATAAATTATTAAGGGCCAGGGATTTAGCTCAGCGGTTTTGCCACCTGCTGCACAAGCCCAAGGACCCCAATTCGAACCACGGTACCAAAAAAAAAAGAATAAATTATCAAGAATTAATAATTAGAAAGAATCTAAAGGGACAGAAAGAAGCCAGGCTTGCAGCTTGCTGCTTGCTCCTTTGCTGCTTTCTGCCTGAACCATTTCTCCTAGGCGATGCCCCTCTACTGTCCACCCTACTTTGGAGGCAGGCAACTATGGAATGAAACCTTTACAAACTTGCAGAAGCTTTTTAATAAGATGAGATCCCAGTTGTTGATTCTTTGTGCTAGTTCCCATCGTACTGAGGATTTGTTCATAAAGTCTTTTTCTATGCCAATGTCTTTGAGAGTTCTACCTATCTTCCAACAAGGAAAATCCTAAGTCATTCACTACCTATATCCTGCGAGGGCTTCATCTTTTGGAGAGATAACAGTCGACAAGAGGAAAAAAAAACAAGCAAATATCAGTAAAATGGCAGAGCAGCCTCATCTTCTATGGAAACATTGGAAAATTAGCAGAAATTCTCAGAACCAATTTTATCAAAACTCTGGAAATCACTTAAGTTTAAATCAGAGAGATGCTAAATTAAGAAATCTGCAATTTAAGATGTCAAGAAGCATTAGGTTACTATATCGTGAATTGCCTTTCCCTCTTCTCCTCCAGAAGCAATACAGGAGAGTCTTAAAGCAGTAGTATTCTGTACTTCCAGTTTGGAATCCTTTAATTTTAAAGGGAGCTAAGTGGACCTTATTTAAAAAATTTTTAGGTATGTCTGGTCTGAGACATGATGGAACTTTCTGAACAACTGATGCAAAACACTCATCTCTAGTTATGCCTAACTGGAAACTTTGGCCAGAGATGCAGCAGACATTGCCAAAAAATGTGGAAGACAAGCTAACAACCTGAATGGTTAGGATAAAAGAGTTTAGTTGTGATATAACACAGACTTCAATTTTAGGTATAAATTATTTACGAAATTAGGACATTTCTAAGCACTTGTGTTTACTGGGGAACACAGAAGCCTGAGAACTTCCCTTCTAACAAAGTATAAGACATCTAGAAAACAAATAGCAAAATGTCATCAGTTCTTTTACTATAATTATTTCAAATAAACTGATTAATCTCTTAAAAAAAAGAATTAGGGGCCAGGGATTTAGCTCAGTGGTTCCAGCACCTGCCTCGCAAGAGCAAGGTCCAGAGTTTGATCCCCAATACCAAAAAAAAAGAATTAATAATTTGTTGCTTTTCTATATAGTCTGTTGGCACAATATAAATATCAAAACAATTTGAACACTTTTTCAGACAGAAGAAATCCAAAATGATACTCAAAATACCTTAGAACAAAGACTAATGGGTGTTCACATCTTTATCTTCCTAAATCTTTTAATATTCACTGCCTACACAATAGGCTAAATTTAATAGGAATGATTTTTGCCTACAGCAACTGACACTTTAATATTTATTACTAAATAGATAATAAAGATTTATAGCCAGGTGTGGTGGTGCACACCTGTAATCCCAGCACACCAGGAGGCTGAGGCAGGAGGATCACTGTGTATTCATGGCCAGCATGGGCTACACAGTGAGTTCTAGGTCAACCTGAACTACATAGTGAAACTCTGTCTCCAAAAAAGGAAAAGAAAAAGTAGTAAGGCATGGTACAATGTAAAAAAGTGCAAAGTTGGGCCAGGGATTTAGCTCAGTGGTTTCACTGCCTGCTGCACAAGCACAAGGACCGACCGAGTTCAATCCCCAGTACCAAAAAAAACAAAAACAAACAAAAAAAAGGGCAAAGTTGCATATATAAACACTATCACTTCACTGTTTTGCCTAAGACCATAAAAAATGATAAGACCAAAAAAATGTTAAGAACTAGTTTTATGAAACTAAATCTATATTGACTATGAAATATACAATAATTTGAAGTTAAGTACCAAAAAATAAAAAACAAACCCCACCCAGATACACTAAATTTCAAACCTGAATTTTGTGGCATCCTTTCAAAACAAGAATTAAAGGCCAAAGTTGAAGTCTGGCTTACTTCAAAGCATAGTCCATTTTTAAATCTGAAAATAATTAAGGCAAGAAAGTCAACTAATTTTTCCTTACTTGAAAACTTCTTTGGTGAGCGACTGGTCTAGCGTTTGAAACAAAAAATAAGCAACTATTTGAAAGGCATCACGGTTCAGCTTGTCAAACATGTTCCTAGTGATTTAAAATTAAAAAGTAGGAAGAGAAAAAATAGAGGTTAATAAAACAACATCAAAAGCTGTATGAGAATTTGACACAAATATTTTTCATTCACTTAATACTTCAAGGCAAATTAATTTTTCACATTCATATGTATTTTATAATTCATTAAGAAAAACATATTAGGGGCCGGGGATTTAGCTCAGTGGTTCCGACGCCTGCCCCGCAAGCGCCAAGGACCTGAGTTCGATCCCCGGTACCAAAAAAAAAAAAAGTGCTAGAAAGAAAAACATATTAGCTTTTATTGTCTAATTCAGAAAATACAGATCTAGGGCCAGTGATTTAGTTCAGTGGTGCTGCCACCTGTCTAGCAAGCACAAGGTCCTAAGTTCGATCCCTGGTACCAAAAAAAAAGAAAATACAGATCTAACAGAAGAAAATACTTGTTTTATTGCAGTGAAAATACTCTGTAGAGAGAAAACATACCCTAACAGCGGTGACAACAGCACGCAGGCCGCAGCAAGCTGTTTGTTATCACTGAAAGCTCAAAAGGTTTGCCATCACTGCTAGGATATGAAAACAAATAATATCAACTGGGGCCGGGGATTTAGCTCAGTGGTTTTGCCGCCTGCTGCACAAGCTCAAGGACCTGAGTTCGATCCCCGGTACCAAAAAATAAAATATATATATATAAAA